GCTGGAGGCGGGCTGGGCTGTGGGCCTCTCCAGCCGCAGCTGCTCATGCCCTGGGCCTGCAGGTGTGGGACGCCGTCGAGGGCTCCCTGCGCTGCAGCTGTGAGCAGGTCTCCTCGGGAATCACCGCCCTCGTCTTCCTGGACAGAAGGTGAGCGCAGGCACCCGCCTCGGCCCACCTCCCGGCCTTGCTGGCCAGACCGCACGGAGGACGCCCTCACTCTGCTCACTGCGTGTCCCTGCAGTCCCCCCGGGCAGCAGGTGGTCACCTCTCAGGAGGGCGGTTGGTTAACGGGGAAGCTCTTAGAGTCGGGCCCCTGTCGCCACCCGAGCTGTAGCCACAGGCGGTGAGGACCGTTTTCCTTCTTTGCCTCCTGAGGTCCAAGCTCTCTGGCCTCGATGCCGACTTCCTGAGTTTCTTGGCAGCATTTTTAGTTCCAGAAAAATGCGCTTTCAGAAGAGCCTGTTTAAACCTTTCTTTCCCGTTGCTGCTGGCCCGTTCCTCTCCCTCCCAGCAGTCGTGGCGTAGCCGTCCCCTCTGCACACTCTCTAGGGGTGGCTCTCAGCCCTGGCAGTGCCTCCTGCTGCTGCCCCTGCCTGCCCCAGGCCGGCTCTGCCTTCCAGGGCCTGACCATGTGGCACCATCCACGCCTGAGCTGGAGCAGGACAGGAGCCACTTGCCTTCAGCTCTGATTTCTGCCGCCACCGCCGCCGCCATTCCTGCCACCCCCCCAGCGCCTGAGCTGGAGCAGGACAGGAGCCACTTGCCTTCAGCTCTGATTTCTGCCGCCGCCGCCGCCATTCCTGCCACCCCCCCGGTTTGTGGCACAGGCCCTGGCCCACGTCCTGCCCTCCAGCCCTGGAGGTCTTCCCTGCTGGTTCCTTTGCGTTAGGGAAAGCCCACATGTGCCCACTGCCTCCACCGCTCCTGGCCCTCCCATCCACAGGCAGAGGCTGGAAACATGCGGTGCCGTTTGCTGTGGGCGTCAGCTTGGACCCCTGCTCACTGTCAGGCTTTGGGGCCACTGGGCACAGGTCCCCGCCTGTGCCGGTCCACATGTGCCTGGGATTCTGAAGAAAATCCCGGTTTCTTTGTGGGAAGATAAATGGAGGGGGTGGTGCTTGCGTCTGTGCAACTCCTGTGGCTCCCGGCCGTGCAGGCCCTCCGCGTGCTGGTCTCTGATTTGCACGCTCTCGGGACCGCCCGTGAGGTGGTGCTGCTGCTCCCATTTCACAGATGAAGCACTGAGGCGGGTCATGGAGTTGCCATCTGGGCCTCTCCCGCATCTCTTCCCAGCCCGTCCTTCCCTCCTGGCTCCCAGCGGAGCTGACCTGTCCAGTCTGGTGCTGGGTCCCAAGGCCGGGGGCTCAGGGAGCCACCTGGCGTGCTTTCCTTTCAGGATTGTGGCTGCCCGGCTCAACGGTTCCCTCGACTTCTTCTCCTTGGAGACCCATGCTGCCTTCAGCCCCCTGCAGTTCCGAGGTCAGTGGCTTGGCCTGGGCAGGAGCTGCGTCTGAGGTGTGGGTGAGGGGCCACCTGCAAGGGCTGACCCTCCGCTGGCCTGTTCTCTCCAGGGCAGGGCAGCTCTCCCGTGGCCCCTGTGTACAGCAGCAGTGACAGGGTGGCCTGCCGCCTGACCCACACTGTGCCCTGTGCACACCAGAAACCCATCACCGCTCTGAAGGCAGCTGCCGGGCGCCTCGTGACCGGGAGCCAAGACCACACTCTGAGGGTGAGTGCAGGCCCGTCTCAGGCACTGGCGTGACGTAGCGCAGGGCATGGTGGTTTGGGGTCAGGGAGAGGCTGCAGGTGCCCTCGATGTGCTATGGGAGGGATTTCCTGGCCAAAGTGTAATTTGGAAAAACTGAGGCCGGCACCTGATGCCCATCCCCCCAGGTGTTCCGTCTGGAGGACTCGTGCTGCCTCTTCACACTGCAGGGCCACTCAGGGGCCATCACAGCTGTGTACATAGACCAGGTGAGGACGTGGGCGGGTGCTGGGAAGCGGCGTGGGCCACCGCCGGGGCCTGGGGCCCCCCTGATGGACACCCAGCTCCCGGCTCGCTCCCCTAGACCATGGTGCTGGCCAGCGGAGGACAGGACGGGGCCATCTGCCTGTGGGACGTGCTGACCGGCAGTCGGGTCAGCCACATGTTCGCCCACCGTGGGGACGTCACCTCCCTCACCTGCACCACCTCCTGTGTCATCAGCAGCGGCCTGGACGACCTCATCTGCATCTGGGACCGCAGCACAGGCATCAAGCTCTACTCCATCCAGCAGGTAGGCGGGGCCCGCGGGCTCTCGGGGTTCAGGGAGGGACTCCAGACACTGAGCCTGTCCTGTCCTTGCCTCTAGGACCTGGGCTGTGGGGCCAGCCTGGGGGTCATCTCAGACAACCTCCTGGTGACCGGGGGCCAGGGCTGTGTCTCCTTCTGGGACCTCAACTATGGGGACCTGCTGCAGACCGTCTACCTGGGGAAGCACAGCGAGGCCCAGCCCGCCCGGCAGGTCCTGGTGCTGGAGAACGCCGCCGTCGTCTGCAACTTCGGCAGCGAGCTCAGCCTGGTGTACGTGCCCTCGGTGCTGGAGAAGCTGGACTGAGGGCGGGCGGGGGCTGAGGGCTCCGTGGAGCCAAGGCCCTGGACCAAGTCGGGGTGTAACGGAACATTAAACTTTGTACAAAACCACACCCGCTGGGGCCTTGTGAGCAGTTGCGCTTCGTCCACAAGTCCCTCTCCCCGTGCCTCCCTCCAGCACAGGGTTAGAGCCTTAGCTCAGCGGCTCCAGGCAGGAGCCCTACAAGGAGTGTCGGGGACAATCAGGCGGGGGAGGCCTCCATAGCCCCTCCAAGGCGTGCGAGACGAGGGTGGCCCCCAGCTCACCCACCCACCCAAGGCCATGAACGGTGCCGGGTGGTAGGCTCCCTCTTGGAGGCAGCAATGGGCAGACATGGCCACAGACAGGTTGGTTTATTACTTCAGCAGCAAAGAGCTGGAAAAACATCAGGTCCCACAGTAGCAGGACCTGCCTAAGGCCTAAGGCCTGCGACACGTCTGCACCCCATTGGGGTGCGGGCTGGACCAGAAGGGCTGAAGGCAGCGAGGACAGGAGGAAGAGACCGGCCACCTCGGGAGGCCCTGCTGGGCGCGGGCAGGTGGGCGGCGGGCGAGACGATGTAGTGTGAGGACCAGGCGGGCAAAGCCTGCTCAGGTCTTGTTGAGCGTCCAGAGTGGATCCAGAAGGCTGAGGGGGTCGTCGGCAGGCGGGGCAGCCCGCAGCCCCTGCCCGTTGTGGGCGTGCAGGAAGTTCTGCTTGCTCATCCGCTGCTTTCCCCGCAAGGAGCTGTCCAGGGAGAAGGCCTCCGGGGTGAGGGAGGCCAGCAGCTCCAGGGAGGAGGAGGGGGGCCCCAGGCTGGGAACCTCAGGAACGGGCTGTTCCTCCTCGGGCTGGGGTGTCTCGGGCAGGGGTGAAGAGAGGGGCGGTGGGGAGGAGGAGGGGAGCTGGGTGGACTGCGGGAGACTGGCTGGCAGCAGGCCTGGGGGCTCCACAGGGCCTGGAAGGCAGGCCACGGGGGAATCCAGGCCCCCGGGCGGCCGGATGCTGAGCTTGGCGATGGTGGCCTGAATGGAGCTGATGGGCACGTCCCCCCCGAGGACCAGGTCCTGGGAGTCCTGAGGGAGGTGGTTCTGAAAAGAGAGGCGGGTGAGGGCGGGACACAGGCTGCGCTGTCCCTGTCCCAGCAAGCATCCCTGCCTCACCTTCTGGCTGACGCCTGTGCCAGCCAAGGGCCTGCAGGGTGGGGGCACGCCATGGCGCTGCAGGACCTGCTCCACGTGTCTCACCACCGCCTCATGGCAGAACCGGAGGTGCAGCTGCAGGGGCACAGGCTGGTCAGCGGGGGTGGGGGTGGGGGTGGGGCATCCCTCAGGGCAGAGCCTGTCCACGCCCAGAGCCTCACCTTCTCCTGCAGCATGTGCTTCCTCTGCTGCCGCATGCGCCGCACCAGCTGGGGCAGCTCAGGGAGCCTGTTCCCCGCCTCCACCTCCTGCACAGCCGCGTAGAGCAGCGCAAAGGCTCCCGTGCGGCCCACCCCGGAGCTGCAGTGCACGACGATGGGCGTGTGCAGGGGCCGCTGGTGCAGGTAATGCGTGTGCACCTCCTGGATGAAGCGCAGCAGGTTGCTGGGGCTGTCGGGCAGGCCTCTGCGGGGTGGGGGGGCTAGAGTCACATCTGACCGAGGCCTTGCCACCCTCCATGCTCCCCCCACCCAGGCGGCAGACGCACAGCTCGGGCCAGGTGGGGAAGTGGAGGTGCACGAGGGAGCGCTTGAGGCTCTGGTCGCGGAACTGCAGGCTCAGCACCCGTTCCACGTGGGTCTCAGTGGTGCGGACGCTGCTCAGCGCCAGGCTCAGGGCGCCGTGCACCATGGGCTGGCCTCTCTCGGTGGGGAAGTAGCGAGCCACCTTTTGCTGAGGGGCAAAGAGGGCGGTTAGGGGTGCTTTTCCAGGATCCCGGCTGGGCACCCACCCACCTCCCCCTCTCACCTTCTCCATCTCCGCCTCAGACACCAGCATGACAATGACCGACACTTTCTGCTCGTGCACCATGAGCCAGAAGTCGGCAGCTGTGCCCGGCAGCGGGGCCTGGGTGGCCACCAGGGGCGGGCAGTACGGGGAGAGCCCCTCCACGCGGCTGGCGTTGATGTAGTCGTCCTTGCCCGAGCGCAGCACCACGCGGTTGCTGTCGTACGGCATGGCGTCCTGGTGCCGGTTCTTCAGGGAGTAGCAGCGGGCAATGGCGATGGAGCGGCCACGGGC